TATTCCTTTCCTTCAACCCTTTGACAGAGGCACACTCGAGACAAAAAGTGCTCGCTGTGTACTCACTGGACGAGACAATTGTCATTCAACGGTGATATAAAAATAAAGATAAGTCAAACGGTGACAAATTAAGTACATCCTGGAGTTGCCTGAATTTCAGTCGACAGCGACATTCGCGAAGTGTGAAAATAGATAAATAAATTGCACGAAAGGGTTAATACCTCCGTGTCACAGAAAATAATTAAGGAAACTTTTAAATGAAACTGTCACCTACCGTATTATTCTATCCTAACGCTTGAATTACCAATGAAAAATACCACGAAACAACGAAACTCTCTAAAGAAACGAGCAGTTTATCTTCCCATTCTCCCCGAGAAATTAACCCAGTTAACGTACACACAGATTAACCCTAACCCAGATCCAGTGACCCAGAAATTCGTCCACGTTTTCCCCACAATTACAAATGACCGCGCGAACCGAGGCACATCAAAGCGTGCGGTTGACGCAACCACCCTGATACGCAACTCTCAAACGAAGACGTCGCGCGCGACGTTTATTCCAGGACACCCGTTGGTTCGGCCACCTTTGTTCGTCGGGGGTGATTAAAAAGTTGCTGAGTGAGTCGCGCCGACAGGAGGACACGGAGCGAGGCAGATACAGAGAGACGGTAAAGGTAGCGGACTGGGAGAGAGAGAGAGGAGGAAGGAGAGAACAAGAAGCAAGCAAGCAACCGTGCAGGAGAACGAGTAAAACAGAGTGATGAGAAAAGGAAAGGGAAACTGCGTGAAATAAAGAAAGAGGAAAATGTGGGAACGGGACGAAAAACGAAGTTGGAGCAGAGAGTGAGCAAGGTGAAGAGAGAGAGAGAGAGAAAAGGAGGAAGATACGAGACGAGAGGCGAAAAAAAGAGGCAGAAGTTGAGATAGACGGCGCAGGAGACAAATCAAAAGGATAAAGATGGGAGAGCATTCGAGGAGAAGGACAGACAAAGAGGGTAGCGCCGGCCGGGAGAGGATTGGGGGATGGAAGAAAGGGTAAAAAGCGCGGGATAACTCCTACTCGGTGTGTGCAACCATTAAGCGCATCGGG